GCCACAACTGTATATCTAGCTCAGGTCACAACTGCCTTATAAAAATAAAATTATATTTTTAGGTCATTTTTAATATCGAGTATTATGGAAGGTAACAAGTGCTCACTTGTATAATCCCATGAGAAATGTTGGCATCATGTGATTTTGGGAAAACAGGCAACTGAAGACCACTAGCACACTGGAGGAACTACAGACTAGAAATAAAATGCTGAGGGTAATATCCTGGCAAGAATCAGGTGACTGAGACCCAGGGTTATTTTGAAGTCAAATGATTTTAGGTACATCATTCAATGTCAAGTAGAGCTCTGAAGTTGAATGTACTCTAATTAGTATTGTAGCCGTGATGCAGTACATTCACTATTCAGTTAACTTGATGAGTGATGAGCACATAGATGATACTTTAAATTAAGTGTAATCGGCACTGTATGATATCTTAACATTCAAGAATTCAGGAGTGTTTGCAGCTCTACAGGCTCATCTATATTTAGTGCATGAATGGGTGCACAGCATGAGGTCTCCAAGTAACCATATGCTTTTAAAGGATCCATGCATGATTGGCTTACAGGAAGTTTTGAAAATTCTACCTTCAATTATCACAACTATGGAGGCTTATTATGAAGCATTTAAATGTGCCCCTTTTTAAGCTTTACTTACTGTAGAGTCATTTTGTTAATGCATTACACATGCAGTGTTTTCATTACTTTAAAGGTACAGTTATACTTTCATAGTTCAGGTTTAATTCACAAAGCACAAAGATAAGGATCATTATTTTAGCAATTTAACTATAGTGGTTTAAATCTTGATGGAAATAACTAACAAATTACATAATAAGGGATCCTCCTGCGCTCATGGGAATAATTGACAAAATACAGCTGCTGTCACTTAGCTGATACCAATAAGTGCAAAATAAAATTAAAAATTAGTGAAGCGCTTGTATCACATGAATACAATCATGTATCTCCATATAGTGTAATTATAAATCAAAGTGACCACTATATATAATAAATGTGTGTTGACTCCCTCTAGTGAAAAGAAAAAATAGTGTCAACCAAAATAGCTAAATAACACACATTAGGAAACTAAATATATAGTGCATAAATCAAATATAATGAACAGAATATATATACGTGAAAACAGAATATTGGCCACATACAATGGTGTCTAAATTATACATAAATGATATATGCCATAGGTGAACAAGACAATATCAAAGGTGAAAAAAAATATTCCATGCATGTGACTGTGCTTTAAGCTGGAACACACACGTGATCTCCACTTCTAAGTGCAAGTACTCTCCTTCAAATGGCAGCAATGCCTGCTCACCTCCCTTCCTCGACCCACACAGGGCCTCAAAGCAGTTACCACCTCAGTGGTGTATTCCTCTGGCAGACTCCTTATTCCTCCTCCTCTCTTATGCAACTCATAAAAAGACAAGAAAGCCTTCCATAGTGTAGTAAATTTAATAGGCAAAGTTAAAAATTACAAAGTTTTCCACTCACATGCTCCTTTCCATAAAAAAGCGTTTTTCCCAGCCTGTGGGTAGATATGCATGCACCTGGGGGAATCCAATATGGCCACTGTGTCCGGACATACGTCACCAGGAAGTAGACAAACCGACGCGTAGCGTCACGTGCGTCGTGACTTCATCAGGGTGAAGTGACTTCAACCCTGATGAAGTCACGACGCACGTGACGCTACGCGTCGGTTTGTCTACTTCCTGGTGACGTATGTCCGGACACAGTGGCCATATTGGATTCCCCCAGGTGCATGCATATCTACCCACAGGCTGGAAAAACGCTTTTTTATGGAAAGGAGCATGTGAGTGGGAAAACTTTGTAATTTTTAACTTTGCCTATTAAATTTACTACACTATGGAAGGCTTTCTTGTCTTTTTATGAGTTGCATAAGAGAGGAGGAGGAATAAGGAGTCTGCCAGAGGAATACACCACTGAGGTGGTAACTGCTTTGAGGCCCTGTGTGGGTCGAGGAAGGGAGGTGAGCAGGCATTGCTGCCATTTGAAGGAGAGTACTTGCACTTAGAAGTGGAGATCATGTGTGTGTTCCAGCTTAAAGCACAGTCACATGCATGGAATATTTTTTTTCACCTTTGATATTGTCTTGTTCACCTATGGCATATATCATTTATGTATAATTTAGACACCATTGTATGTGGCCAATATTCTGTTTTCACGTATATATATTCTGTTCATTATATTTAGCTTTGTGAATTGAGCCTTTTGTATTGTAAGAAAAATACATTTACAATGCTGGCAATGGAACAGTTAATGAGGAACTCATAGAGTGAATTTCTTTCCTGCAACCATGGGCTGACCACAGACAGTGTTGACAGAGATATCCCTCATGCATAGCCATTCCGTTATCCTGGGGAGGGGGCAGAGCAAGCCGTTCCTGCCAGGAGAACACAGTGATTATTGCTAGAGGCTATAAAAGCCACTAGCAATAATCACATGTAAAATCCACCAGGTTGTACTCAAGTTGATCGATTGATTGGTCAACTTGGGTACATTCAGCCTGCCTATACATGGTTCAAATCTCGGTCGGTTCCTGCTGAACTGGCTGAGATTCGAACAGTCTATGGCTGGCTTAAGTATGTACAAAACATATAACTCATTTAGACATATTGAGCAATATTGAGCAGAGAGAGGGAAGGTACTTGACTTTATTTTTTAGTGCTCCATGTGCAACCTTTCCTATTCAAATATTTCCCCAATGTAGGGTGATCTTTTTTTCATCTCTACATCACCATGCTGTACAGCTAGAACTACATTTCCCTGTAGGCATTGCAGCAGTGTACTGATTGGGGTTCTGTCTGTAAGTGCTGAATCATGTTAAATCATGTGGTGATACTGTCTCATCCTCAGCCTAGTGCAAAGAATTAATTTGGAGACAGAGGCAGGATCAGATGTGCATGTTGTTCTCTTAGAAGACTGGCCAAGACCACAAGAGGAATTTTTTGGGAAGTAGTAACTACTTTATCTTGGCACAGTTTTTGCAAGTGAACAGCAGTTGCTCAATCATCTTTACATAGTGAAAGCAAGCCGTATGATCATAAACCCTGCCCGCCTCCCGGAATCAGAAACCCCTTAATGGGCGGGAGTTGCTGGAATTATTGGGTTAAACAAGCTAAGAGGTCACTCTTAACTCAATCCTTGTTCCTTCAATGAACATAAATATCTTCAGCAAATAATGCATATCACACATGTATAATATGTAACATTAATATGTAAAAGTAAATAAACAAAAGTACAAAGTGCAATAAACGCAACCCAAACACATGTAAACTGCAAATGTGGTATCCAATAGCAAACACTATTGCAAAGTGCAAAAATTGCAGAAGTAAGTTTAAACCTGTATCCAGTAGAAACTATTCATCCACACAGTGCGGTATCCTATAGCAATAACTAATGATTCACTGCAAATATGAACTGTGCTGTAACCAGCTTTTTTCACCTCTCCAGCCCCATTAAGTTGGACCAACCTATTAAATACAGATGATCTTTAAATCAAAAAAGTATCTGTATTCTCCACTGACAATCCACAAAAACAAAGAACACAACGTTTTTCAATGAGGGTGTAGGAAAGCAGTAAATTAGTTTGTCTTTTGTAGAAATTACTGTGACCAGCTGAATGACAAGTCACTCTCAAGTGCAGCTCCCAATCCCTATTTTTAAGCCTAGATTCAGGGTACCATGCCTTAGATATTTCTTGGCCCAGTCTTGACATTCTCAACTTATGTGTCTTATTCATTTGTGGTCGGGTTTCACCCTCCTTTACCTTGGCCATGTCTCTGAGCACTGAACACCTTGTACTTCTGGATACTCCAGGTAGGTTGCAGTTCTAGAATATGACAGCACTGGAGGATAATGGGTTCCTGTTAGCTTCATTTTTGATTCTTCTCAAATCTTTGGAAATTAATTTGCGTCTTTTTTTTTCTCAACACGTTTCTTGTGACCCTGTTGACTATTTTCAACAAAACGTTTGATGGTTCCGTGATCACGTGTGAACATTTTAGCAACTTCAAGAGTGCTGCATCCCTCTGAAAGACTTTTAACAACTTTTGACTTTTCATAATCAGTTAAATCTCTTTTGTGTCTCATTTTGCCTGAGGAAAAGAAGCTGCCAAATAATTATGCACACCTTGATATAGGATGTTGATCTCCTTAGGCCACCCTTCCTCAGTACCCAAGTACATATCACCTGATATTCATTAAGCATTCAAGTTTATACTGCTTGAAATTGGACAATATGCATAAAAATGATGACTTGGTCAAAAAACTCACTTGCCTAATAATTTTGCACACAGTGTAATGTCTAATCCAAGATATGTTTAGATAAATAGACAGCACACTTTAATGTCACCAACAGAAAACAGTGATGTTTTGAGGCCACTAGGGGACTTTTCCTCACTACTGTCTGAGAAAGAGGCCCCTAGCGGTTTCGAAATGTTGCTGTATTCTGTTGGTGACATTAAAGTGAACTGTTTGTTTATCTAAATATAGTCTGTGGGTGATATATTGGATTAGAAACAAGATCAAGTCAAACTCTTACAATCTGTAATGCTTTATAAATCTGTAAAATTTACAGTTGAAACATCCTGAGCCCGCAGCACCATTCTAAACCTGCTCCTCTCACCTGTCCATGGATAAACAGGGTGTCAGCTCAAAGAAACCTGTTTTGGCTCACCATTTTGTAGAAAATAGATGAATAAGAGCTGTACTATGATCTCCACTCTTCCAAGAACTTTTATTTAAGCATCAACAGTATAGCTGCAATCATGGTGTCTCCACCCAAAGGAAACCACTACCTCCTTAATGCGTTTCATCACGAATCACTTGATCAAGTGATTCATGGTGGAACACATTAAGGAGGTGGTGGTTTATTTTGGGTGTAGACACAATGATTACAGTTATATGTTCCATCTTACAGGTTTTTTCCCTTTGGCAAGTCAAAACTATATCACAAATTCTGTTTTCAGTAAATTAGAGACTATTATATCTATGTCCGAGAAGTACAGAACTCCCAAAATAAAAAGTGTTCACCCTTACCTCAGAATTTACTTTCAAAGTTTCCTCATTGTGGTACAGAAGAACCTTCTGTCCCAATAAGGTCAGGTTTACATGGACCTGTAGACAGGGGTACTGTGAGATTTTCCAACAGTCTGGACCACAGCTAAAAGAGCAGTTGAAGGTTTCTGTTATCGAAGCATTCAATAACGTGCATTGGGTTTCTTCTGTCCACACACTGTGAAAGATATAAGACAAGTCAGCAATCATTTGAACTGTAAACATTCACAGCACAACATAGTGGAACAAAATACACCAATTAATACATTAGTTTCAACAGCAATAGATACATGAGTTTCCTATAGAGTCAATCACATATGCTGTTTTTCCATCCAATGCAGCATAGTATGTGTTTCAGCAAGTTATTTCCCATTCATGAAACAAAAGAACATCATCTTCTGATACCAATAAAATGTTTTTCATTGTCATAATCTGCAAACAGAAAATACTATTGACTAGTTAGACCGATGGCTTTCTAGTATTCATAAGTATTGTCTTTTTCTGCACAAAACAGTGGAACAACCTTAAAGTGGTTGTAAACCCTCACATAGAGCCAATAAGTTGAATGGCATCAAGTTATACACAGAAATTAAACAAATCAGTCTACATAAATTGTATCCGTATATCTACAGCCATCTTTCCCCTACATTCATTCCAAGTGCAAAATTTACACAGGCTCTCTCAGCTCTGAAAATCTCTGTCGTCAAGTGACGCCAGACACCAAAACCGACGTTGTCATGTATGCTGGAAGTTGTGTACATAAACACAGATACGGCCATTTTAAGTGAGGTTTTACATGCTTATACACCCTGTTCCAAATTATTATGCAAATTATATTTTTCTAATTTACCTAAATAATTGATGTAAATAACAGTCAGCATAATTGTATAATACTCACTGGGGGCCCAGAGATACCCTGCTACAATACTCACTGAGGACCCATAAATACTCCGCTGCATTACTGCTTGTGTCCCCAGAAGTACTCTGTTGGATTACCCGCTGTGGGCCTAGAGATACCCTGCTGGAATATCTGCTGTGTACCGAGGAGTGTCGTTGCCTGCTGCAGGCTGTGTGTGCCAGAGGTGACCCCTGCCAGAACTGTGAGTGTCCATACCCCCTCTCTACCCTGCCTGGACTGTCCGTGAATCCCCCTACTTTTCTCTGCCTGAACTATCCGTGAACCCACTTACTTTTCCCTGCCTGGACTATCCGAGAACCCCCCCCTACTTTTCCCTGCCTGGACTATCCGTGAACCCCCCTACATTACCCTGCCTGGATTAATACTTGCCAGAGACTCAGACTTGCTCTACCTGGGGTCGGATTTCAATTACGTTGGCCCCTCCCCCTCTCGTTCCCTTCCTGGGTACCTGGACGCTACCCTCAGACCCCAAATTGAGTGCTTGCCATAGATTAATAAAGCTTTGTGGGTTTACCATCTTCTTTGTGTGGTCTGTCCTGCCTACGCTCTCATCACAGACAGTAAACTGGCCCTTTGTTTAAAAAGTTTGGAGACCCCTGTTTTAGGGAAACAGCAATGTATCAGCTAAAATAATGCTGAAACCAGTAAGCTTTTGTGCAGACCATTAAAAGTCTGTGGGTACCTTTCGGATTATGAAAGTAAAGAAAGGGAGTGGGAAATTTTTTTTTTCAGTAATTAGCACACAAATCTAGTAACAGTCATTACTATTTTTATTGCATAAATGCTGATTAAATGGCAAAGACTTAATCTAATTGCTTCAATGGTACAGAAAATGAAACCTAATAAAGTGGTCATATTTGTCACCTGAAACTTCAGTTGAAATGATTAATCTGCTTAGAGGCAATACTAATAAGATTGAAGTGATCCGCCATACATGACCTGAATAAAAGAGCTCAAATGAATATCATGCTGCTTGTGAAACAACTTTATAAAGCATTTAGGTTTCTTAGCGAAATTAATAAAAAAAAAAGTCAGCCTGCTTGCTGTCTGGCATTAGTAATTACTTTAATTTACATGGCTGATTGCTAGATAACAGCTATTAGTCAAGTCCTTTTCCAATTGCAAGGCAATGGCAAGATTATATATTTGCTGATGAGGAGGGGCCAGTCTCTTAAAGGGTATCTATTCCCAAAAATAAAAATATAATATATTGCAGCTCACCAGTCCTTAAATGTGGATGCTTTATTAATTTTTTTCAGTTTTTTCCCTCTTTTAATTTCACTTGCTGATACTCACAGAAACACTCCTCCTGTTCTAGGATGACAACTCTTACTCACTGTTCTTTATCTGTGGAGGCGCAGTGTTGCCACCTTAGGGCATAAAAGGTGTTAGGACTAAAGAACACCTCCTCCTCTTCCCATTTACAAAACAAAAGTAGGGGGTGTTCTATAGTCCACAGAGCTATTTTGGACATGGCTGATGCCACTACGTGAGATGAGTATACACAGCATAACATTGGATTTCTAGCAAGATAAACAGGTTTTTTTTTTTAACTTATCAAATAGATATAACAGAATACCTGGCATACATACAGTATATAGTATATTTGTATTTCTTTGTTTTGGTTATACATCCAGAATTTGGACTAATGAAAATTAATACTAGGAGTAAATATGGAAGCTGACAAAAAATGCTTAGTTGTCATGTATATTTATACAGAAGGATTTAAGTTATAACTAAAGGCATTTTTTTAATTGGATAAAGTGGTAAAGGATTAGAACCACTGTCAGGTTTTAAATTCTGTGTTCCCTGAGCCTTGGTTCACACTAGAATTCGGTGAAGGAAACCCATGAACCTATGCCTTTCCTGAAGGAAAAGGAGGAAACATCCAAAATGTTGAGTTGCCACAAAACAGGAATAGAATGGAAGTCTTCCACTGGGAACACCTGACAGATTTTCTGACAGAATTTTCCACTCTATGAAAAAGCTTTGGCGTTAACCCCTTCAGGATGACCACCTCCCAGCCCTTCAAGAAGTCTAAAACCCAGGATGCGGGCATTTGGGTCTGTCACAGCAGTCACATGATAGGAAAGCTCCCAATCACAAGTATGCATCGGGAGCTTACCGATCCCCGCTGACTACCATGTTGGGAGTGTGTAGGGAGTGTGCTCTCAGCACTGTAAGTATGGCACGTGCTGCATATAGGGCTGCATATATGCAGCCACCCGGCGTTAAGGCCCACCTCCTGAGCAGCCACATATATGTTAAATATTCTTTATTATCTCTTAACTGTGACCATGAAAGTCAGGCTACAGTCAGAACTCCTAATGGATCAGTGACTTAGAATGGATAAAGGCATTGGATCAAATTGACAGCCAGGAAACTAGCATTCTCAGAGGAAGATGTCAGCAGTGATAGTCTATTTCTTTCAGCACAGATGTCCTATAAACATATTCATCAACAACAACCTAAGAGAAAATGAGAGGCTCTATTGCTGATTTATTATTCTAGAAATACTAGTTGTCATGCTGACCCTCTTGCTTCTATATTTTAACCCAGAAAAATATGCAGATAAGGACTTTTGCCCTTAGTCTGCCCTTACTCTCTATTCTTTGCATCACCATTTTCCTGCATAATGTCAGGGCTGAGAGACTGTTAATCTGCATTCCACATTTTACAGATAGCAGTTGACACTGTTTGCGACTGCTAGCTGTCAAAATGCATCCAGAACATGTGACCACTAAATCAACAATGACAGTTATTATATATGCATTATATGCAAGCTACAGGTTTTTTTTAAAGATTAAACAGACTGGCTCTGTTTAATGCTGTAATTTTCAGATGCAGTGATATTATTACCTACTTTCCGCCCACCCACAACACATTTACGGAGGGTGGATGGCAGCTCCAGACTATGCAATGTACTGGTAAATCACTCAGCACATGCTCACTGGCATGTCCCCGGGGGCATGCAGCAGCACAATCTCATGACCGCTGCGCACACCGGATCATGGTGCTGTGTACCTGGCCATCATTATAATCTGATCGCTATGACCAATCAAAGCTATTACATTATTACAATGCAAAGCAAAACTGTTATTAAAGGCTTCCATTCATGAAAGCTTACTTTCTATTGTGATTAGAGATGAGCGAATCGAACATGGCGAAGTGGAATTCGTTTCGAATATTGGGAAATATTCGATTCGCGCCGAATCCGAAAATTAGCAAACTTCGGATGCACGAATCGAATTTACCAAAAATGGCGGCGACATGTGTGGCGACGGAGCAGGGATCTCTGGGAAGGCGCGCAGACAAGGCACGCTGACCCATAATGCATTCATTCATGACATGTGATCGCATTAGCCAATCAGCAGCCAGCCAGCCAGCACTGTGTAATGGTGGAGCTATAAATTGCGGCCATCTTACAATTCTCCATTAGCCTCCGGTCATTCAAGAGAGACAGACCTGTCTGTATTAGGGACAGAGTTAGGGCCAGAAAGACTTTAGGGCCACAGAATCATTACTTAGGGACACAGAATCGTTACTTAGGGACACAGAATCGTTACTCAGGGACACAGAATTGTTACTCAGGGACACAGAATTGTTACTCAGGGACAGACACAGAATTGTTACTGAGAGACACAGAATTGTTACTGAGGGACACAGAATTGTTACTCAGGGACGCAGAATTGTTACTCAGGGACACAGAATTGTTACTCAGGGACAGACACAGAATTGTTACTGAGGGACACAGAATTGTTACTGAGGGACACAGAATTGTTACCCAGGGACACAGAATTGTTACTCAGGGACACAGAATTGTTACTCAGGGACACAGAATTGTTACTCAGGGGACAGACACAGAATTGTTACTCAGGGACACAGAATTGTTACTCAGGGACACAGAATTGTTACTGAGGGACACAGAATTGTTACTCAGGGACACAGAATTGTTACTCAGGGACAGACACAGAATTGTTACTCAGGGACACAGAATTGTTACTCAGGGACACAGAATTGTTACTGAGGGACACAGAATTGTTACTCAGGGACAGACACAGAATTGTTACTCAGGGACACAGAATTGTTACTGAATGACACAGAATTGTTACTCAGGGACACACAGAATTGTTACTCAGGGACAGACACAGAATTGTTACTGAGGGACACAGAATTGTTACTCAGGGACAGACACAGAATTGTTACTGAGGGACACAGAATTGTTACTGAGGGACACAGAATTGTTACCCAGGGACACA